CTCAGAGTAATTTGATTAAGCAAATTGCCTACTTAGTGATAATAAAACCAAGCTAGCTTTAAAAATTATTGCTTAAATAAACAGATCTACCAAAAATCAAGAAGAAATATGGATTATTGTAAAATCTCTTCAGTGAGTTTATTTTTTGGGGGGAAAAAGGCATAGAAAAGACATCAATACTAGCCCGAGCTTAGTCCAAGAAAACCATAGAGTATCAGTGTTGAATGGGGACTAGTTTGTGAATACGTGGGCAGGTATATACAATGATTCTATCAAGAAATATGAATAAAGACAGGAATTGAGTTTAGAAGGATCCCATGAAATTTGTATATAAAAATATTTTTATTTACATTTTACATCAATTTGGAACGTTGTCTGCAAATAGAATTTTTGCAAGTGAAAATAACAAATGCCCTAGAATAACTCATGGATCATCTTACTGACAATTTCATCTGCAACTTTGGAATTTTGCATTTGAACTTTTCTCAAAAGATGATTCACCTTTGGGGTCATCTCAGGTTTTCTTCATGTTCTTCCTCTCATTTTGAAAGCATCATTTACGATTCAGTGAAATGGGACAATCCCACCACTCTATGGCCATAAACACATAGATTTAACCCAGGCATCTTAATACCCTGCTACATCCCTACCATAGCTCACTCTTTCCAGTAATTTTGCTTTTAACTTATCTAATTCAAGGATAATTTCAGGCAAATTGTAATCAGTATGTTTTTGCTTGTGCTTAAAGTAATGTCTTGGGTGTTTCACAATTCCTCTTTGATGTCTAGTACACTTGAGTCTTTTCAATCTGGTGTTTAGTTAAAATAAATAAAAAGTGAAACCACATGTTTGGGGACAAGGCACTGTGTTCCCCTAAGATGTAAGACTGTGCCAAGGTTGAAGGGGGCCTTCTTTCATCCAAAACAATTAAATCAGGTTGACGGACCAGCCTGATTTGAAAGTGGCTGCCCAAGAAAACTGTTACTTAATATTTGCTTTCTTTAGATTCAATTTCATTTTCTTTCCTTTCTCTTCCCACTCCTTTCCTGTACCCCCAGCTCCATGCACTCTGGTCACGCTGATCTATACTCCTGGTTCCCCAAATATGCCGTGTAATATCAGCCATCTGTGCATCTGCTCATGCTGTTCTCCCTGCTCAGAAGGAGGTGGCCAGTTGCCAGCTTATGGGCTGGAGCTAGTCCACAAATGTGTTTTACTTGGACTTCACTATATTTTTCTTTTACATTTGAGCCAACACTTAAAAATAAAAAAAAATTCTTATGAAATTTCGGATTTCTGGCCTTGTTTGAAAAGTGGAAGCTCTGCGATGTTGTTTCTGCTTTTATTCAAGGTAGCAACAGCCACAGCAGAGCTACAGCTGTCCTTTCTTAGACATACATTGAACGGGCACCTTGTTGAAAGAACAAATTTGACCCCACTTGGTTACATACCTTACCTGCTTGGCTCCTTTAGGGTGGGTTTGAGACTTCTGCTGGGAGATATTGATGATATGAAGGAGAAAACGACACAGGTTTTGCCCTCTGGGGCATATTATCTGGGGCAGGGCATAAATATTTGTCAAATTAAGAAAGATGCTAAGTGATTAAAAGAAACCACAAGAGCTATTTTGCTGTGAGAATTTACTAGATGGAAGTGAGAAAAAATAAATATATTAAATAAAGGATTATGAGTTTGGGAACAAGATAAATTATATTAAGTGTTTATTGAGTACTCTATGTGCCAAGCACTTTTCTAATGTTTTATGTATATTAACTTTTTTTTTTTTTGAGCTGGAATCTCACTCTGTTGCCCAGACTGGAGTGCAATGGCATGCTCACGGGCACCCCAAAGTCGATCCACTGGGCTCTGCTATCCTTCCGCCTCAGCCTTCCAAGTAACCAGAACTACAGGTGTGTGTTATCACGCCCGGCTAATTTTTATTATTATTATTATTTATTGTAGAGATGAGGTCTTGCCAAGTTGCCTGGACTAGTCTCGAACCCGCAGGATCAGGCAATCCACTCACCTTGTGCTGGGATTACAGGCTGAGCCACCGAGCCCGGTCTATTAACTTATATAATTCACATAACTCTATGAGTAGTTAATATTATCTTCAGTTTACAGATGAGGAAACTGAGTCCTAGAAAAGTTAAGCTTAAGGCTTTGTAGCTGGAGAAGTGAAAAGGCTGAGTTGTGTTAACATAAGATATACTGTGTTGGAGATGATTAAACTTGGAGCCTGTCCTGATCCAAAGTGTGCTTTCTGTTACCCTTGTGCAAATCAGTTAAACTCTGAGTCTTATTTTACTTTTATGACAATGATTCTTGGCTGCTTTCTCTAAGAAGGAGATTGTGATGGTTGGTGGCAATGAATGTGAAAGTGCTTTGTAATTACAATTATGAAGCAGCCAGGAGTTCCCATGTGACAGTTACAAATCTGATTTAGCAAATTATAGGACCCTGGTTGGGCTCCATTAACTAGTGCAGCTCTTCTCAACCTGTAGTGAGCCTACAAATCACCTGATAGATTCTGATCAGTAAGTCTGGGAGGTGGTCCAACATTCTGCATTTCTAACAGACTCACAGGTGTGCTTCTGCTCATGGTTTGAGGACCAAACTTTGGGTAGCCAGGAACTAGTGGAAGGATCACTGTGCACTAACAGGTCAATTGCAAGGATGTGGATCTTCCCTTCTCTTTCTGCCTTCTCCTTACCAGGAATGTCAAGAGGACTTCTCAGACTCACTGTTCTCTTCCATGAGGCCAGCCTGGCTAGAGTTTAGAGAGATCATGAGTTTTGGGGTCTAGACTAGAGCAAGGAAATTTACCCTTTAGTATTTGTATTATCCAGGTTCTCAGTGGTGGTATAGGTCCAGAGCCATAGTTACAAATAAGTTGGCCAGCTGCAGTGGCTCATCTCGGTAATCTCAACACTTTGGGAGGCTGAGGAGGGAGAATTGCTTGAGCCCAGGAGTTCAAGACCAGCCTGGGCAATATAGTGGGACCTGGTCTCTACAAAAACAAAACAAAACAAAACAAAACAAATGTGCTGGGCATGGTGGTATGTACCTGTAGTCCCAGCTGCTTAGGAGGTTGAGATGATAGGATCACCTGTCCAAGCCCAGGAGTTTGAGGCTGCAGTTAGTTGTAATCAAGCCACTGCAGGCCAGCCTCCCAAGAGGCAACAGAATGAGACCCTGACTAAAAAAAAAAAAAAAATGAAAAGAGAATAAGTTATTACTTTACTTTTCTTTTCTTCTTCTTCTTTTTTTTTTTTTTTACTTTACTTTTCATCTGTGCCTATTTGTAACTCAAAGCCTCACAGAAGAGGAGGGTCTAATGACCCTGGCACAGGATGCTAGTAGGTGTTCATTCATTCCACAAATATTTATTGAGCACTTACTGTGTCACTGTGTCTGTGGCAGGTATTGGGTTTCTGGCCTTAATATCATCTAATAGTGCCCCCAATTCCACCCTAAACTCTTATAGAACTATTCATATATATGATACTGTAATTTGTGGAAGTAAGTTGAGAAATAGAGATATTTTACCCTTTTAAATAAATAATGGTTATAATAGACTTTACTTGCTACTTACCCAACATCCATTACTTTTTTCTTTCTTGCTGATGGGAACCCATTTTTTTTTTTTTTTTTTTTTTTTTTGAGTTGGAGTTTCACTCGGTCGCCCAGACTGGAGTGCAGTGGCCGCTCCCGGCCACCGCAGCCTCGACCTGCTGGG